AAGACGGTCTCTACGGTTACAAAAAACTTTATTTAACACGAAAGGAGCTTACAAGACTTCCGCGATCTTCGAAGTTCTAAGTTAGAAGCAGCATTCAGGTTTTCCTATACTTACCAAGATAGTCCCAAATGAAGGAGTGTCTCTGGTTTGCGAATGACAGTTCTCTCGACGTCCGACGACTCTGGGACAGGAGACAGAGAAGAAAATGGGTATTAGACACAGAACAATTGGTTAGACACTTGCAACTTCCGGAAGAATAAGCTGTGCCATCTTTGAATTCCCAGGTTCTTCTTAATTTCTAACGTTGCCCATTCCGATTGCTCGCTTTTCCTCGTTCTCGCTTTTCAAGAGGCTAATCACTGTTACTAACTGTAACGAGATCTCAACTCAGATCGAGAAAGAGGTCAAAATCGAAGTTTAATTCGATCCCCAACCGGAAATGGTCGATCTTAGGACACATTTTTCTATGTTTAGAAGTTCGTGTCGCATTTTCAAACAAAATAATTAGTTTATTTATCTTGAAAAACTGAATACCTAAAATCAATTTTTAGAAAGAGGGCTAACATTTGATTACTTTTATTAATAAGTTATATTTACACCGAATAGACTCAACTAAGTCGTTTTTGGAAATAGTCCGTGAATTACATCAGTCCAATCATTGCAAATATCATACTCAGTACAAATGATATTAGCAAATGTTGATAGATTCAAATGCTCAAATTTCTCACCGACAAACATGTAGTGGTTCGATGTCGTATTTCCATTCATTCAATAAGGACACATATGAACCTAGATCAGTACACAAGTGCTTTCGTGTTAAACGAAAATTGTTTAGGCGAATCTGGATAATCGTTTTTTAACTATGAACGGTAGCTGCTGATAATAGATGTAAAAACACCGATTGTTTTCTAATATATCTGAGTACCATAAATGATAATTACATATACTTGTATGAGGATAGCTGGGAGTAGAAGTGTCTGGGTTAGACTTTCTACTACTGTCCGAATGGAATATAGGTCAGGCAGGCGATATTAATTTTAAAATTCACCAAAAATCAAATTATCACGATATTCATATGAAAAGAAAATCGTGTACATCTAATAATATCTTTAATATTAAATACGATATTTTTCAATGCATTTTATGAGAAATGTTTATTAATATATATATATCGTAACTGACATTTAAACTTGATAATTCATAACTTTTTGTGAAAATTAACATTTTTTAGTTACCTNGAAAAGAAAATCGTGTACATCTAATAATATCTTTAATATTAAATACGATATTTTTCAATGCATTTTATGAGAAATGTTTATTAATATATATATATCGTAACTGACATTTAAACTTGATAATTCATAACTTTTTGTGAAAATTAACATTTTTTAGTTACCTAGTTTTTTGCTGGCAATGAGCCAGAAAGACATAGAATATTGTTCTGTACAACTCTACATATGATTTATTGATGTACGTTTATTCGTTGTGAAATTATCACACATAAATTTCGCATATAAATTTTTGTAATAACATATGATTTAACGGTACAGTAGAACCTCGAAAACTCGGCTCTCGATAACCCGGCACTCCGGATAACTCGGCCACACCCTGGCAAGGCAAAAAAATCCTTAGTTAATTAATTTTCATTATAGACAGCTTTATAAAAGTATAAAAGCTCTCATAAAGTATTTTTCTGAGGTCTGTCTTATCAGGTAAATTACTGTACACAGTGTATTCATTAATTTTCATTTTCATGTAGTAAAGGCTCTATGCCTTCATAAAGGACGTACTTTTCCTTTGTTTAAGGGTATTTGGGCAGTTTATTCTCTGTTATATTCTCAAGTAAACAATACATACAAGTACAGTACAGTATTTTCTGAGGAAAAACGCATACTTATCCTTTTTTAACCCCATTCCCGATAACCCGGCATTTTCACAAACTCGGCCACCCTTCGGTCCACATTAGGCCGAGTTTTCGAGGTTCTACTGTAGTAATACATTTAACATTTGCTGATATTTTACATTTAAATAAAAAATAAAAAATAAATAAAATGTCAGAACTGAAGATCATAAATTGAATATTTATAACACGTTGAATTATTACAGCTAAATAAATTTAATATAGCATAAATGAACTTATTATAGTAATATTATTGCATGAATAAGCTAAAGTCAAATTCTATCACGAAAATAAAAAGTTCATCATGGATAGGATAAGAAAAGTAATCGCAAAACTTTGTCAAAGTTAATATTGTTTGAGAATCAATAAAAAACTTCGATTCACGAACAATACCAATTTTGACAGTAATGTCAAAAAAATCGATAAGCTTATCCAAATGGCTTAATGTTTTTTTATGTTGTGTTTAACGTAAATAGGATGGCGGTGGCAAAGGGTTAAAAGATGATTCTCAAATTCCACAATTCATACTGATTCACTGCATAATTCACCGAGAACATCTCGTTACAAAATATTTAAAATATCCTGATGTTATGAAAACAGTGTTACACATTGTAAATTACATTCGCACCAATTCAAAAAATCATCGACAATTTAAAAATTTCCTTGAAGAATTAAAGGACGAAAAACTTCCAAATGACATTAATTTCTTTTGTATTGTTAGATGGTTATCTAGATACAACGTATTAAATCGCTTTGTAGATTTGTTTGATCCGATAACTGCATTTCTAAAAGAAAAGGAAATAACCTATTCAGAATTAGACGATGATGAGTGGTTAATATTTAAATTAGTGATGTAACGAATATTCGGTTACTATTCGGTATTCGGCCTATTCGGCCTATTTTTCACTATTCGGCCGAATACCGAATACCTAAAAGCAGAAGTAATAAATAACAAAAACACAGTAAATTAATCATTTTGGTATTTAGATTTAATGTTATCGAGTTAGTGTTGTTTGTTTATATTTATTTATAACTTGTAACATGCACAAAATAAAAAAGAAAATAATATTAGTCACATGTATTCACAATTTATAATTACAAAGATCAGCACACGTACACGTCTATCGTTGGAGAATCCTCGCACATCTGAGGGTCTGACCCTGCCTATCCTTCTTTTTAAGCGCTCGTCTTTGCTCTTCCCTTTCTCTTTCCTCTATCGCTCTAATCCATGTATGCCTGTGCATACATCATAATACGCGCTCACGATACTTTCGATTCGTCACTTTTCCGTCGTAGAGTTCCCATTTTACAATTACGTGACTCAGCCTGGTGATAACGGAGAAAAGAGACAGATAGGACGTCGATATAAGTCACAGTTATGATTTCACAGATTCGAGACAGCTTGATAGCCCGAACGGCCCCAGGCTTTCGCCCGTGCACGCTAAGTGACTTTCATTACAAGCATTTAGCTTTCCGAAGTCTATGACAACAATTGTTTGGCATTGACGGCCGCGAATTTCGTGCCAATAAGCTGCCTCGACTTGTTCGATTATGTTATAAACTCAATTTCATATTTATTTTCACATTTTCACTTCGCGGTCCTTCTCTGTTCTTTTTCCGTTATTTACACGTGTAGGTCATTTCATTGTTATCCACATTTGATATCATCATTTATCACATACTTCCATGACACTCTCGTCTGTCCGCTACAACTGCCAAGAATTAACGCGATTGGCGAACCGTAGTGACAGCGGGACAATAGAGAGCAGGATCCTTGCCATAATGCGGTTTGCGCGCCAATTTTCGTACGTGTGTTAATCGAGCCGAATAGTTTGGCCGAATATTCGGCTATTCGGCCACGCTCCTGGCCGAATATTCGGTATTCGGCCTGAGGCCGAATATACTATTCGTTACAACACTAATTTAAATTCAATACACATATTTTGTACTTACCAGTATATGTTTTCAATAAATACAATTTCTGTAAAAAAATTTTTAATACCTTTTTTGCATACCTTTTTAATACGTATTTAATTGCGGCTCGCGAAAAATTTCAAATTTTAAAAATGGCTCGGACAATTAAGGAGCTTGGCCACCCTGGCCCTAGGCAGATTTCCCGAGTGTTGCGTAGCCATAACTAACGAAACGAAACGAAAACAAAAATTAATTAATTTATAGATATGCAATCGATATTTCGCAATGGAATGTACGACATGTTGTACATTAGAAATATTTGAAAGTAAGTACCGTACCGAATTTCTTAGCCATCGGTCGAACATGATGTACTGTACGTTAGAAGTATTAGCTAGAACGGCCTAGAAGTATATACTTCTAGGCCGTTCTAGAAGTATATACTTCTAGGCCGTTCTAGCGAACGAACAAACAAACATCCTTACTTATAATCGCACATGTCATTCTTTATAGTTACCCACAAAAAACCTCCAAAAATAAGACTGATTAACAAGCGTAATGCTTAGCACGAGCTTCGATTACGTAAGCACGTTTTTTATTGTTGCATAAACAATAAGCTATAAAAATAAGTTTTCAACTGTTGTTAAAGAGATTTATCGATTATTAAAGGTTAAATTATCGAAAGTTAAGAGTGCGTAAAATAATGGATTGTATAAGTAAGTTAAATTCTTTTTATTATATAATTATATTAACTGTTTAATATCGTGTTCGCAATGAATATAAAGACACGCAATTAATAGATAAATGCAAACAATGCGCATTTATAAGAAAAAACTTGTAACGAAAGGGTAACAAATGTGACAATTAATTTTAATTGCTTAAAATTATCCATTGATTTCCCTTTATTTTTTATCGTTGTTATAAACATACAAATGAAGATTTGATTATTTACATTTTTGAAGTTAATCTGTAAACTGAATATTAAAACACATTTTACTTAGACTTTTTATTAAATTGTAACAATCAAGATAAAGTATGCTTCTGAGTATACGCTAATAAATATCCGTTCATTTATTTCGATCGAGAATATCGTTTAAATCAAGAAATTTCTAAGCAGAAATTAATTGATTTAAACATTAAAATTTATTTTCAATTTTTATTTTTGTAAATTTGCAATAAAATAAACTTTCAAAATATCTTTCTAGAATAACAATTTCATGTTTATTTGGTGTAAACTGTTTGTCATTTGCTTTGTTTCTATTTTTCAATTTTTATATGATTTTTAATTCAGGCGAAAAAAGCGTTATTAATGAACATGGATCATCCGAACAAAAAAAAGTAACGTTGGAAGATTCCGTCGCCACAATCGTTCATATTATCTTGGATCTGGCACGGAGAAAAAGAGAAGAAGAAAAAGCTTTAGTAAGTTACAATTAAATAAAAATAATTGATACTAATTCTTATTATTTAACGATTTACAACTGTAAAACCCGTGACAAAAACGCACAATCTTATAAAATGTTTTATTTAATATAGCTGCAAATTGTTTATTTCTTATTATATAAATATATTCTGAGTTAATAAATAAAAACCGTACGAGTACTGTAAGATTGTTATATCAGGAATCAGAATTTTTCACTTTTTACAGGAAAAACTGAACGTAGATGAACAAACATTGGCAGTAAGTCAGAAAGTGGGAAAATTGTATAAAGGTGAGATCACAAAGACATTATAAAATATTTTCGGATTCATAAAATATTTTGTTTAAAAATTATTAAGGAATGATTTGATGTTAAATTCATTGTATTAAAATTTATTTAAATTAAGAAACTTAATATTAATTACCCATACGCAGTCTTTGACGTGTGAAGGGTGTCGTAATTTATTATATTCGAAACTATTCAAAATATAACATTAATATCAAAATGTATATTTCTACAAAGATTTCATTTATTTCGTCAAAAATACTTTAGATAATTATTTTTGTTACTTAAACAGTAATATGTGTCTGTCTGTGTTTACGGCTATTTCGTTTGATATCTCAAAATACGCTTACATTAAAAGAAAAAGTTTGCACGGTAACTTCTATGTAAGATACATTGATACTATTCAATTTTGATAATTAAAATTTAAGGGGTAAGGAATAGACGTAGTTTGTGCAGGATATTTTCAGAGGAGGTCAGACTTAATAAAGATTTTACACGGAAATATAAATAAATATGAAATAAACGCTTGTGAAACTGTGACATGGACAATTAAAATCGAATTGTTGTGTCTTCTAAACACTTTTATTGTCTAAAAAAACGCCCAAGTAAGTGTACACGAACTTCCGATCTAGATTGCAAGTCGGGTAATTTCAATCGAAATATTTTCCTCCCAACGCACTTAGGTTGATTGTGTTGTTATTAGGAAAAGTATGATGTACACAAGCAAGATAGTAGTAACTTGAAATTTTATAAACTAAATACATAATGAATATGATGAAAAATTGCAGGCCAGCATTGTGGCATGACAGAATATTTGCTGGTTACAACTAATCTTCGTTAATATTTAAGAAATAACATTGATTTTTAATAAACAATATCTGCTTTTTAGTTTTTTACTTTACATAAACACTCGCAAGTGTTTTGGATTACCGGAAACATGAAACTGTGCCATTGTATTATCGTTTTGAATGTTTACCTATCAGTTCGACGCCATGTCAAACAAAAAGTCAATAATAAAAAATTGTTGTGAGACAGCGACCGATTTTCGATATAAAATTTCCACCACGCGGATTGGGTTCACACATTATCTATGGAATGGCAAGTACAGTTTTCCAGAATGTCTTCACGCATATAACGCATAAATAAGGACCACATTGCCTCTAAATAATGTTCTCGAAAAGCATTTCGACCACGTCCTTCTTTGTGTTTACTTATCAAAAAACAAAACAAAAATAAAATTACTTTTCGTACGTAATTCTAAGTATGTTCTGTGATTAGCGTGACGTAAGCACTTTTCCAATTGTTGCGTACACAATAGACATTAATAATATATTTTCGGCTATTGTCGATGCGTTATTTGTTCGGTGTTATCGAATGCGATATTTCTTTTGAAAATAAGTTTTGTCAGCAAGTTAAACTACATTTTTATTGTATAATTATATTAAAAATAAATATAGAAACATAAATTTAATAGTAATTTTCGACCAGATGTTTAAAAATCCGAATATAATGTTATAATGTTAACGGCGTCATTAACGATAAATAACAATTTATTATTTCGTTTGCGCATCTTATCCAATATCTCAATATTGGGTTTCATTAAAAAACCTACCGGGAATTACTCTTTAGTAAGCAATATTGCATATGAATTATTGATTTTACGATTGTAACACAATTAATAAATTTAAATCACAGTGTAATATTTATACTTTGTAACAGAAATAAATTGACTTTTGTTTTATGCCATACGCTTCTTGTATAGTCTTGTGTTCAAATATACGAGCGCTAAGATGGCTAACAAAATAACAATTTATTATTAGAGTTATTACACGATCAATAAAACGGAAGACTTTTTATTTATTTGAGTATGCATTTCGGATAATTATATCCATTTTTAACTCTTGTGTTACAAATGGATTATGAGAAATTGAAATTGACTTTTGCTGAATTTTTAGTTATATTTTCAATGGAATAAATTTCCAAAATATGTTTTCGACAATAAGAATTTCATCTGTTTATTTGATCTAAACCGTTTGTTATTTCCTTTCTTTTTTCCTTTCAAATTCTTATATAGGCCTAATTATTAAATTGACGCGAAAAAACTTTTACGAATTGCTGTGTTTATTGCCTTTACTTTTATTCTCTAGGTTTTAATAACAAAATGGATCTACGTGATAGAAGTAAATATTTCGCATGGAAGTACGATAGAACTCCGGAAGAAATTTTTAAATCTTTAGTGAATGCAAAAATGCCAATGACATCTAATATAAATGCTGATTTTCCGGATGAAACGGAATCGTCATCTTCTGTAAGTTCAATTCAAAATAATTTAATAATTCTCATTATGTAAAGATTTAAAACTGAAAATCACAATCTTATGGAAAGGACTGCAAATTCTTTATTAATTAATAAATCATTTTTTCCGAGTAATAAAAAGACATTTCGACTACTGTGAGATTATTCTATCAGGAATAAGAACTTTTCACTTTTTACAGGATTCCGATGATGAAGAGAATGATTTTTGGTTTGTGGAAACTACTCGTTGCGAGAACAGACCTCTGAAGAAGGAGTGTGAATTTTTAGAAAAGCATTCATCGGTAAAAGAAATAATTTCTGAAGAAAACGTAGACGATGACCGAATGTTCAAATCGTCATCGAAAATAATCGAAGAAGAAAAAGTATTGGATGAAAGTAAGGTTACAAAATGATTATAAAGAATTATAAAATAATTTGTTAACAATTATTAAGAAATCTTTTAATGTTAAACTCATTCTGTTTAAATTTATTTAAATTATAAAACTTAATATTTGTTATCCATTTGCAGTCTGTCACGTGTGTTGTATGCCTGTTTAAGTAACAATTTCAAGCACATTATACAAATATTCAGCAGTAAACATGATTAGGAGTAAACCAACAAATAAAATAATTGCAACAAACACAACCTTAACATTGACAAAATGATTCATTGTCTTGGCCAGTTATCGAATAAAATTTAATTGAAAATTAATTTAGCAACCTTCAAAGTATACGTCGAGAAATTTCCAATAATTTTAATATATATTAATGAACTTTATTTTTCCGGCTGTTATAATATTTGAATTGAGTCACGTTTGACCTTCGACGCTTTTGGAATGGTTGTGACATTTCCGTACAGAAAAAGTATAGAAACGAAATATGTGTTTGTGTATCAATAACATTAGGTATATAAACACAAAATGAAACAATGAAATTAACTATAAAACAAGAGATAATCCGTGGAACACAAACAGAAAAACACTGTGCACTTCACTGGCAATATTCCGTTTATCATATGTTTGACTGTTTGATTCATTCAGAATGGAAGAAAAATCTGAGTTTATATTTAGATTCATATTGATTATATCTTTAAAACTTTCTATTTATACATGTGTACTGCTTTGTCGTTTCTTTTATACATTAAACATTATATGTATTTATAACTGTTTTATCCTGAATTAATTTGTGAGAATAAATGCACATTTGAATATGTACAGATATTTCACGGTAACACGAATATCTTATAATAATATATTTGTTTTTTTCATAAACTTATTTATAGTTAATGGCGGAATTATGATGTTTATTTACGAAAAGATTGAAATGTAAATTATAAAATTATTATTTTTCAGCTAATAATAAAGATCAAAGCGATGATAAAATTGAAAAAAAGCAAAAGCTAAGAGATCTAGTAGAAACAGAGGAAAGGAAAAGTATTAATGTAAGATATTCGTGGGAAGATAAATCTACAAAAGAAGATGAAAATGATAGAGTAAGATAATATTTTCTAACTTTATTTACTTTACATTTATAAACCCATTCTCATTCCTTGCTAAAATTTCACATTTGGTTGTATTTTGATATTTCAATATTTTCATTTTCTTTCCCTTTTTCTAAAATAATTACAAACATTTTAAATGATTGGTCTTATAAAGTTTATGTTTAAATTTTCAAAAAAAAATTGAAAACATTTAAATATTACTTTGAAAATAACCAAATTTATGAAAAGACTAATTAAGATGTTTATTTCTTGGAAAGTTTATTGTTACACCGAACTGATGGCATTGGATTAGAATAATTACATAATAACAGTTTATCGGCCATCACTAAATATGTTTAAAATGGTTTTCTAGAATGCGAGTTTATATATTTCGTGTATTTTTGCGAAAAATTGATTGGTCGGTAGATTACTGTTTGATACTCGGCTGTGAATGGACCAGTTTGTCAGAACTAACATTAGAAATTTGACATATGTTTTCAATTGGTGTCTACTTCACCAATGAAATTGTACCATTTCGCATTATCTGAGTATCGCTATAAACGTAATAATGATAGACCAAAATAATTACTTTTTATATTGTCATCATATCATAGTATTTGTCTTTTATAATTAGGTAAGGATTTCACAAAACGAGTAACATATTATAAAATTCTTTATTTTTCTGCTGTAAACAGCTTAAACATTTTTTAAAATGTGTCAGATTGATTACTCGGTGTAATAAACCATTACATAAAATAACCTATGTAATTACAATTCAAATACTATGATATAATATAAGAGTTAGAAGTGTGAAATAATGTAATAATTTTAATCTTTGTTGTTCTCATACGCTAGTTTACAAATATATTTATATTTTTTGCAGGAAACAACGAAATGTTCTGATGCTTTTACATATTTATTTTGTAAAATTCCATCCTTTATCTTTTCGTGTTGCAGAAGAAGAAAGAAACATGCCAATGGTGAAAAAGGTAGGAAAAAGATTACGTAAATTTTATTTATAACATGACTCATATTTAATAAAAGTTAATCGTTGTAAGATTTGGCATGCTTATGTTAATCATTGAAAACAAAAATAAAATTCGCACAAAATTCAATTCACTTTAACACCGTTTCATTCTACTAGTAAATAATTTAGTCAAAATATAATGCAGTGGTGTCATATCACAAACACTGACAGAAAAGAATAATTTTGTTACAGAATATTTAATTGAATTAATAAAAATAGTAAAAAGTAAAACTCTCTCGACAAAAGTATATAATGTGCGTCAAGCAAACTTTAAACCATTGGTTTACAAATAGTAAGTTTCACGAATTTGCTAAAATCACCCGAAAGGCTTGATTTCTCTACACTTTTACACAAATTCCATGTTTTAATTTGTCTTCTTTGCGAACTTTCCTTCTTTTTTAGCACAAAATTCAAATGACAGTTCATATTGTTACCTGTCTTTTATGTTTCTGTATATATTTACACATCTGTATGTCTGTACACAGAAGCTTCTAAAAAGAAAATTTCAACTATTGTTTTAAATTAAGCTCCATAATATATATATATATATATATAACTCATGTCATAACATTTTAAACACTGTCGTATATACTAAACAATCAGGGAACACGATTTTAGTGAACAAGTTGGTTAACTGATGTAAATTATGTATGTGTTTCGGTGTTCTTTTCTAATACAAAATCCTGCAAAGTTATGGTCTTGCAACAGTGCAAAAACAACAGCATAAATAGATGAATAGTAAAATTATTTATTATTTTTATGTGATATGAATATAATTTAACAGTAATATAATTGAATACATTATAAATCACAAGTCGCAGTATTGCTTAATTGCTCCGAGAAATGCCTCGTTACATTTTCAGTATCCTGCAGCATAAACTGTTATAGGACCTTTCTGAAACCAGCAATGAAAAGTAACAGTTTAAGCTGCAGAATACCAAAAATGTAGTTACTTCGTGGACATTAGGGATTAGTAACCATAAACCATAAGCTTCGTTACTTTCACAATAGATATCAACTGCTAATATAATTTCTTTTCAATTCTACACGTTTGTATTTTGAAATAATATAAAGATGTTAATTTTAAAAATTATTTCAAACATTTAAACATTTTAAAGAAAATTCTTAACTATTTTTATTTTATTTTTACAGAGTACAAATGAATTGCAAAAATTTTCTTCTCTTCTACATAGAAATTTTGTTGTGAATTCGTTTTCATTTATTGTTTTACTATTGTTCCTCTTGTACATTTGGAACTTAAAATGTTTAAGATTTAACTCTAAAAAAACTTTAAGATTTGATACTTGAAGAAAAAGTTTAAAATTTAAAAACTTTAAAAAAAAGTTTAAAATATGAAACTTCAAAAAAAAAAGTTTAAAATTTGAAACTTCAAAAAAAAAGTTTAAAATTTAAAACTTCAAAAAAAAGTTTAAAATTTAAAACTTCAAAAAAAAGTTTAAAATTTAAAACTTCAAAAAAAAGTTTAAAATTTAAAACTTCAAAAAAAAGTTTAAAATTTAAAACTTCAAAAAAAAGTTTAAAATTTAAAACTTCAAAAAAAAGTTTAAAATTTAAAACTTCAAAAAAAAGTTTAAAATTTAAAACTTCAAAAAAAAGTTTAAAATTTAAAACTTCAAAAAAAAGTTTAAAATTTAAAACTTCAAAAAAAAGTTTAAAATTTAAAACTTCAAAAAAAAGTTTAAAATTTAAAACTTCAAAAAAAAGTTTAAAATTTAAAACTTCAAAAAAAAGTTTAAAATTTAAAACTTCAAAAAAAAGTTTAAAATTTAAAACTTCAAAAAAAAGTTTAAAATTTAAAACTTCAAAAAAAAGTTTAAAATTTAAAACTTCAAAAAAAAGTTTAAAATTTAAAACTTCAAAAAAAAGTTTAAAATTTAAAACTTCAAAAAAAAGTTTAAAATTTAAAACTTCAAAAAAAAGTTTAAAATTTAAAACTTCAAAAAAAAGTTTAAAATTTAAAACTTCAAAAAAAAGTTTAAAATTTAAAACTTCAAAAAAAAGTTTAAAATTTAAAACTTCAAAAAAAAGTTTAAAATTTAAAACTTCAAAAAAAAGTTTAAAATTTAAAACTTCAAAAAAAAGTTTAAAATTTAAAACTTCAAAAAAAAGTTTAAAATTTAAAACTTCAAAAAAAAGTTTAAAATTTAAAACTTCAAAAAAAAGTTTANGAACATATACACAAAGTGCTTCCCAAGTTTCCACACATACAAAGATTAATTGTAACTTTATCCAAAAACCTAAAATTGTCAGCATTAAGATTTATGTCAATGAATTGATTGATGGAGTAAAACAACGAAACACATCGATTATTTGTCAATAAGATAACTTCTCACAGGACTTCCTATATGGGAACAGGAGTTTTTCTCGTTGTTTGACATATGAAGAAAACACTGCATGGTGGCCAATCCATTGGTCAGGCAAGAACCAGTGGTCAACTACCAATGCTCAACGTTTTATTTATTCGACCACTAGTGAGCTTGATTTGTGTCATTGTATGCAGACTTTTGGAACATAATAGAAATCCCCGTGTTAAGCATGGTGAATTTTTTTTAATGAGAAAGTAGAAATTAAAAAAAGTGAATAGTTGAGGTTTGAAAAAATTGAACAATTGTAGCTAATATTTTTCAAATAAAGTTTTTTATACTATTTGTTGTGGAACGAAGAGCAAGAAGACAAAATTTCACCAGGTGTGGATAAAAATAGTAAGAGTTTTACGGATTTTACCTACATATATCTAAAGAGATGATGGCTTTTATATTAAAACTAGCAGATGAATTCGGCGTTGCTGAAGCAAAAAGTAACGATAGCAAAGATGAAGATTATTAGATTATAGCCGATTTTACTTATTTATAACAGGTGCAAGAACTAGTTTCACTTTCTTTTCTGATTAATAAAAAGTTTTTAAACAAGTCTCCGATTATCTCTTGTTAATAATTAGTTTAAACCAGTGTTTTTCAACCTTCTTGAATACGCGACCCCTTTACAAGTTAAAAAATTCTGGCGACCCCCCAGAGCCATATTACAACTATATCAGTGATTTTAAAAACTACGTATTTAATTTTCTTTCTGTTGAGACGAGACATGGGCGTAGCTAGAGTTTCGTTATGGGGGCCTAGTAGAGGCCAACCTGACACAAAATTGAATTATTTCAAATTATTATTCAGTAAAATGAAAATTTCATTACAATCGACAATAACTTAGCACACGTAAAATATGAAACTTCCTTTAAAGTCTTTGACCAACAGTTTCCATCTATACGACTTGAACAAAACATATGGAAATAAAATGTAAATCGCGGTATTATCGATCAGTTACTAATAATAATAATGCTTACGGTTGACCCTATTGATAGTTACAAAAGCAAGCCAAACTTAAGTTCATATTTTTGACTCAATCGCCCTTGATTAAATTTAGTATTTGAAACTTAATAAAACTCTGCCAGCAATGGCTGAAGTACAGATTAACAATATGGAGGTATAAAACCTCGAAATTTGAAATTACATAAAGACGAAAACAAGTATAAAAGACACAAAGGAAAAATAAAATGAACATTCAAAATCAGAGAGAGAAAAGGATCAGATTTATAAATTAGGCTTGGTTCTCTTGAACTTCACTGATATTTAACACTCTGTTTTCTTACCTCTACCATCTACAGCAATATAAGTTATTCTTAGACAACTAGAAGGAACCGCATTCGATTTCGTATTGGAAAATTGTTCTTGGTAGTTACTTTGGATTAGATAATTGTTTTTCATCTTATTACTTGTCGTAAGATAGGAATTAAAATTAGAAGTAGATGTTCTCGGTTATGTTTAATTTGAATGTAATAAATTATGTAAATTGAATTACAGTATACATGTATGATTCGCATAGTTAATTTTTTGTCAATACAACACTAATAATTTTATACACACAAATTTTACGAAAGTTTATTATATTTTCCTCCTGATACTACACAATTTACAAGACGTATTATTGTACTCTATTGTATTTTCACACAATAAAAATTATATTAAGTAATATCTCTATAACATTAATTTGATATTAGTTTTCATATCCTTAGCATTAAAAACCTGCTTCTCTTTCACGTTACATTAAAACAGGTGTTAATCAATTACTGTTTTTTTCACTTAACCGTAATTGCTATACTTTCTTTTCTAACAAAAGAAGTATAACATTTACACGCAGCTCACAAACTACAAGCATTAAAATTACTACGAAGTGTATTTAAAATATATTTTAATTATACTTTGAGTAATTTTATTATTCGTTGCATTAAAATGTATTAACAATTATCTATCGCAAGATTCTCGAGTGGACGATAGAGTTAAAACAAATTTATACATGAAATATAGTTTATGTATAATTGTATATCTTTGTCTTGTGGTCACAAAGAAAGTCCTGTAAACAAATCTTTTACGGATTCGTCCAATTCGGTATAATTCCAATATTTGTATTTATCCACTGATATGTATTATAAAACGTACCTTTCATAGAGATCGCACATAGGCATAGTTTAAAACGAGAAAATAAAAGATTATAATTTTTTTAAATTATGAACATTTTTTACTGCTTTTGCTTTCAGGACAATAAACGGGAAATTTTTTGTATCCGTTGTAAGTTCGACTGACCTCATAGGAAAAACGTTAGGTACTGATTGACTGTATAAAACACTAGCCAATATTCGATCTTTGCTTTCCCAGAGCAAAATCATGACAACTTAAATGCTTGAATATAGTGCTCGGTCAACTGTGCTACCGTACATTTGGACGGCAAAATAAAAGAAAACGAGAGACGAACAATAGAAAAAATAAAAATATGCCATTCTTTGTTATTGATATATTTTCTGAATTGAAATATCATTTTTTTGAGAAATAAGTTAAACTAGTTAAAAGAACATTTTGTAATTAACAAACATATTTATACATATTACATACTTTATTTATTTATTTTTACAAGAGAATAGAAAAGTCTCAAAGACGGTAGTTATCTACCCACAAAATTAATAAATATACGTAAAAACAAAGATGACTATTACATAAAATTAAAAATAAATTACATTATGTATTAAATATAATATGAATTAAAGCATTAAAGTATAAATGTTCTTGGAAAGAATTGCGTTTTCCAAAAACTGCTTTTGTTTCGTATTCTTTGTTAACCGTTCTGACATAAAATAATTATTAACGATGCTACGGTAAGTTGTTCCAAAACATTTCCTTTTTTTAAGTTGGAAATGACTCGAAATTCTCAGTTTATAACTTACAACTACAACTCGTATGTTGTAAGTCTTAACCTTATTTATTATATATATAGGTATATATATAGGCCTATACATATATAGGTCTTACATATATAGGCCTATACATATATATTTCATAAATAAATCGTATCCGCCTAATCGTATGCTTGCTAAGCGAGCGTACAAGATGCCAGAAGCAAATTTCTTCGGTGAAATTCTTGAGCCACAATGAATATGCATCAATTAGTGAAACTATCCACTTTTATATTAAAAGTCATTCATGACTTCGAAGAATTCATCAAGCAAACAAACGAATGATTGCCTCAAATAACATACTTAAAATCATGTTTACCTTTGAACCGTAGGTGACCAAATATTCAGAAACTTATATTAAAAGCTATTAAAAATGCGTTATACCTTAATCGGTGCCACACTATTATTACTAAGTAGGTATTATAGCTAACAACAGTTTAGTAATATAACTAAGTGATCAGCTATAATGCAATCAAACTTCTGGAATTTTCATATCAGGTTTTTCCAACTTATATGAGTACGTAGAGAAAAGGTTTAGAATTTTTCATCTTATCTCCTATTCACTAAGAATAATAACATAACTGAATTAAAAGGCAGAGCAGTATTTTACAACTTAGGAATAAATAATTCATAGAACAATTTACATCAGATAGACCCTATCAAAATTTTCCACAACAGCAAGTACATGTAAAATATATTAATACTAGAATTACTTTTGGCATATCTTTAAGTTAGAAATTTACTAAATGTGATTAATTACATTTAATTCAAATACAGTTTAATTTCAACAATAAAATTAATGCGTTTGTATCGTAGTGTATATATTAATAATAAAAATTTAATATTTCGTAGGATAAATATTTTGTTTAGAAAATGATAGTATTTTAGATTGTAATTTATTATACAATTCTCTCACATTATATGCACATCAGCGTATTTAGATAAATAATTAGTATCAAATGACAATTTAAACTG